TAACAAGTTAAGAAAGCCTAGAGAACAAATGGATTTGTCAGTTAAAAATAGAGAGGAGAGTTATTAAATGGAGAGTTAGAGGTATTGGGAAGATGGAGGAATATTTTGAGGAATTGTTAAATGTTGATGAAGATAGGGAAGCTGTGATTTCGTGTATAGGGCAAGGAGGAATAACATCTTGTAGGAGTGAGGAAGAGCCAGTTGTGAGTGTGGGGGAAGTTCGTGAGGCAGTAGGTAAAATGAAAGGGGTAAGGCAGCCGGGATTGATGGGATAAAGATAGAAATGTTAAAAGCAGGGTGGGGATATAGTTTTGGAGTGGTTGGAGCAATTATTTAATAAATGTATGGAAGAGGGTAAGGTACCTAGGGATTGGCAGAGAGCATGCATAGTTCCTTGTATAAAGGCAAAGGGGATAAAAGGGAGTGCAAAAATTATAGGGGGATAAGTCTGCTGAGTATACCTGGTAAAGTGTATGGTAGAGTTATTATTGAAAGAATTAAGAGTAAGACGGAGAATAGGATAGCAGATGAACAAGGAGGCTTTAGGAAAGGTAGGGGGTGTGTGGACCAGGTGTTTACAGTGAAACATATAAGTGAACAGTATTTAGATAAGGCTAAAGAGGTCTTTGTGGCATTTATGGATTTGGAAAAGGCGTATGACAGGGTGGATAGGGGGGCAATGTGGCAGATGTTGCAAGTGTATGGTGTAGGAGGTAGGTTACTGAAAGCAGTGAAGAGTTTTTACGAGGATAGTGAGGCTCAAGTTAGAGTATGTAGGAAAAAGGGAAATTATTTACCAGTAAAAGTAGGCCTTAGACAAGGATGTGTGATGTCACCGTGGTTGTTTAATATATTTATAGATGGGTTGTAAGAGAAGTAAATGCGAGGGTCTTGACAAGAGGCGTGGAGTTAAAAGATAAAGAATAACACACAAAGTGGGAGTTGTCACAGCTGCTCTTTGCTGATGACACTGTGCTCTTGGGAGATTCTGAAGAGAAGTTGCAGAGATTGGTGGATGAATTTGGTAGGGTGTGCAAAAGAAGAAAATTAAAGGTGAATACAGGAAAGAGTAAGGTTATGAGGATAACAAAAAGATTAGGTGATGAAAGATTGAATATCAGATTGGAGGGAGAGAGTATGGAGGAGGTGAATGTATTCAGGTATTTGGGAGTGGACGTGTCAGCGGATGGGTCTATGAAAGATGAGGTGAATCATAGAATTGATGAGGGAAAAAGAGTGAGTGGTGCACTTAGGAGTCTGTGGAGACAAAGAACTTTGTCCTTGGAGGCAAAGAGGGGAATGTATGAGAGTATAGTTTTACCAACGCTCTTATATGGGTGTGAAGCATGGGTGATGAACGTTGCAGCGAGGAGAAGGCTGGAGGCAGTGGAGATGTCATGTCTGAGGGCAATGTGTGGTGTGAATATAATGCAGAGAATTCGTAGTTTGGAAGTTAGGAGGAGGTGCGGGATTACCAAAACTGTTGTCCAGAGGGCTGAGGAAGGGTTGTTGAGGTGGTTCGGACATGTAGAGAGAATGGAGCGAAACAGAATGACTTCAAGAGTGTATCAGTCTGTAGTGGAAGGAAGGCGGGGTAGGGGTCGGCCTAGGAAAGGTTGGAGAGAGGGGGTAAAGGAGGTTTTGTGTGCAAGGGGCTTGGACTTCCAGCAGGTATGCATGAGCGTGTTTTATAGGAGTGAATGGAGACAAATGGTTTTTAATACTTGACGTGCTGTTGGAGTGTGAGCAAAGTAACATTTATGAAGGGGTTCAGGGAAACCGGCAGGCCGGACTTGAGTCCTGGAGATGGGAAGTACAGTGCCTGCACTCTGAAGGAGGGGTGTTAATGTTGCAGTTTAAAAACTGTAGTGTAAAGCACCCTTCTGGCAAGACAGTGATGGAGTGAATGATGGTGAAAGTTTTTCTTTTTCGGGCCACCCTGCCTTGGTGGGAATCGGCCAGTGTGATAATAATAAAAAAATATTTTAAGAACAAGAGGATAAATAAGTATACAAAATATGATGTAGGGCGAAATGACAGTAGTTTGTTGGATTATGTATTGGTAGATAAAAGACTGTTGAGTAGACTTCAGGATGTACATGTTTATAGAGGGGCCACAGATATATCAGACCACTTTTTAGTTGTAGCTACACTGAGAGTAAAAGGTAGATGGGATACAAGGAGAATAGAAGCATCAGGGAAGAGAGAGGTGAAGGTTTATAAACCAAAAGAGGAGGCAGTTAGGGTAAGATATAAACAGCTATTGGAGGATAGATGGGCTAATGAGAGCATAGGCAATGGGGTCGAAGAGGTATGGGGTAGGTTTAAAAATGTAGTGTTAGAGTGTTCAGCAGAAGTTTGTGGTTACAGGAAAGTGGGTGCAGGAGGGAAGAGGAGCGATTGGTGGAATGATGATGTAAAGAGAGTAGTAAGGGAGAAAAAGTTAGCATATGAGAAGTTTTTACAAAGTAGAAGTGATGCAAGGAGGGAAGAGTATATGGAGAAAAAGAGAGAGGTTAAGAGAGTGGTGAAGCAATGTAAAAAGAGAGCAAATGAGAGAGTGGGTGAGATGTTATCAACAAATTTTGTTGAAAATAAGAAAAAGTTTTGGAGTGAGATTAATAAGTAAAGGAAGCCTAGAGAACAAATGGATTTGTCAGTTAAAAATTGGAGAGGAGAGTTATTAAATGGAGAGTTAGATGTATTGGGAAGATGTAGGGAATATTATGAGGAATTGTTAAATGTTGATGAAGATAGGGAAGCTGTGATTTTGTGTATAGGGCAAGGAGGAATAACATCATGTAGGAGTGAGGAAGAGCCAGTTGTGAGTGTGGGGGAAGTTCGTGAGGCAGTAGGTAAAATGAAAGGGGGTAAGGCAGCCGGGATTGATGGAATAAAGATAGAAATGTTAAAAGCAGGTGGGGATATAGTTTTGGAGTTGTTGGTGCAATTATTTAATAAATGTATGGAAGAGGGTATGGTACCTAGGGACTGGCAGAGAGCATGCATAGTTCGTTTGTATAAAGGCAAAGGGGACAAAAGAGAGTGCAAAAATTATAGGGGGATAAGTTTGTTGAGTGTACCTGGAAAAGCGTATGGTAGAGTTATTATTGAAAGAATTAAGAGTAAGACGGAGAATAGGATAGCAGATGAACAAGGAGGCTTTAGGAAAGGTAGGGGGTGTGTGGACCAGGTGTTTACAGTGAAACACATAAGTGAGCAGAATTTAGATAAAGCTAAAGAGGTCTTTGTGGCATTTATGGATTTGGAAAAGGCGTATGACAGGGTGGATAGGGGGGCAGGTGTATGGTATAAGAGGTATGTTACTGAAAGCAGTGAAGAGTTTTTACGAGGATAGTGAGGCTCAAGTCAGAGTATGTAGGAAAGAGGGAAATTATTTCCCAGTAAAAGTAGGCCTTAGACAAGGATGTGTGATGTCACCGTGGTTGTTTAATATATTTATAGATAGGGTTGTAAGAGAAGTAAATTCGAGGGTCATGGCAAGAGGCGTGGAGTTAAAAGATAAAGAATCACACATAAAATGGGAGTTGTCACAGTTGCTCTTTGCTGATGACACTCTGCTCTTTGGAGATTCTGAAAAGAAGTTGCAGAGATTGGTGGATGAATTTGGGAGGGTATGCAAAAGAAGAAAATTAAAAGTGAGCACAGGAAAGAGTAAGGTTATGAGGATAACAAAAAGATTAGGTGATGAAAGATTGGATATCAGATTGGAGGGAGAAGGTATGGAGGAGGTGAATGTTTTCAGATATTTGGGAGTGGATGTGTCAACGGATGGGTCTATGAAAGATGAGGCGAATCATAGAATTGATGAGGGTAAAAGGGTGAGTGGTGTACTTAGGAGTCTGTGGAGACAAAGAACTTTGTCCTTGGAGGCAAAGAGGGGAATGTATGAGAGTATAGTTTTACCAACGCTCTTATATGGGTGTGAAGCGTGGGTGATGAATGTTGCAGCGAGGAGAAGGCTGGAGGCAGTGGAGATGTCATGTCTGAGAGCAATGTGTGGTGTGAATATAATGCAGAGAATTCGTAGTTTGGAAGTTAGGAGGAGGTGCGGAATTACCAAAACTGTTGTCCAGAGGGCTGAGGAAGGGTTGTTGAGGTGGTTCGGACATGTAGAGAGAATGGAGCGAAACAGAATGACTTCAAGAGTGTATCAGTTTGTAGTGGAAGGAAGGCGGGGTAGGGGTCGGCCTAGGAAAAGTTGGAGGGAGGGGGTAAAGGAGGTTTTGTGTGCGAGGGTCTTGGACTTCCAGCAGGCATGCGTGAGCGTGTTTGATAGGAGTGAATGGAGACAAATGGTTTTTATTACATGACGTGCTGTTGGAGTGTGAGCAAAGTAACACCCCTCTGAAGGAGGGGTGTTAATGTTGCAGTTTAAAAAACTGTATATAATATATATATATATATATATATATATATATATATATATATATATATATATATATATATATATATATATATATATATATATATATACATTTATTTATATATATGTCGTGCCGAATATGTAAAACTGGTCAATTAGCAAGAAGTCATTTAAAATTAAGTCCTTTCTAAAATTTTCTCTTATACGTTTAAAGAAATATTTTTTTCATTAATGTTGATGTAAAAATTTTTAATTTTGCACCAAAAGGAACTTAGAAAACTTACCTAACCTTATTATAACAAGAACAATTTATTTTAGCCTAACCCAACTAAATATATTTTAGATTTGTTTACAATAATTTAATACTAAACAAACACAATGAAATATATTTTTTTCGATAGGTTCAGAATGATTTTTACGAAATTAATGCATACTCAAATTTTCGGTTCCCTGATTCGGCAAGAAGAGCGTTGCTATTTAACCTAAAATATATATGAATAGAAATGGGAAACTGTCTTAAATTTGCCACATTAACAAGAAAATATAATTGAAAGTAATAATACTTTACAACCTACTTCATTTTAGTAACTTTCTCATTAGTCAAGATACTTACTGTAATTTGGTACGAAAGTATTACTTTGTACTTCTTCTCCGACACCTGCTGATGTTTCAGCCTTTAAACTAATTACGTAGTTTTGACAAGGAGAGATGTTTTGTATTATTGTTGAGCGAGTTTCTTTACCCAGTGTTTGATTCTCTCTACCACCATCTTCATTTTCCCAAGTTATCTGGTAATTCTGGATCTCTCCATTTTCATTGACTGGATGATCCCACGATACGTAAACACTTGTTCTGTTAGACTCTACCTGGTTAATTACTGGAGGCCCAGGAGCTGAAATAAATTCAAAATATATGAAAATATATGTATTATTGATTTTAATTAATAATCAATAAATTTAAAATGATCTATCAAATATATTAGTTACAAAATATAGATTTTTGAATTAACATCATTGAAACAATATGTCTGTCAATTCGGAAAGTAATTATTTACATGGAGTTCGGCCTATTTGGCAAGTTCTAGTTATTAGACCACACACACACACACACACACACACACACACACACACACACACACACACACACACACACACACACACACACTCAACTTCTCCAACCACCAACACAAATCTCTTCCCCGCTCATCCTTCTTCCACTTTTCTGAAACCATCTATTCTTTCAAACTCTGTCACCCCTGGCTGTCTTCAAGACCCCTGGCTGTCTTCAAGACCCCTGGCTGTCTTCAAGACTCCTGGCTGTCTTCAAGACCCTTGGCTGTCTTCAAGACCCCTGGCTGTCTTCAAGACTCCTGGCTGTCTTCAAGACCCTTGGCTGTCTTCAAGACTCCTGGCTGTCTTCAAGACCCCTGGCTGTCTTCAAGACCCCTGGCTGTCTTCAAGACTCCTGGCTGTCTTCAAGACCCTTGGCTGTCTTCAAGACCCCTGGCTGTCTTCAAGACTCCTGGCTGTCTTCAAGAACTCTGGCTGTCTTCAAAAACCCTGGCTGTCTTCAATACCCCTGGCTGTCTTCAAGACCCCTGGCTGTCTTCAAGACCCCCTGGCTGTCTTCAAGACCCCTGGCTGTCTTCAAGACCCCTGGCTGTCTTCAAGACCCCTGGCTGTCTTCAAGACCCCTGGCTGTCTTCAAGACCCCTGGCTGTGTTTGAAGACAGCCTGTACTGTCTGCACGGACAGCCCATGCTGTCTGCCAGCTTAGTTCATATTTCGCGGCACTAAGGTGCTGCCCTCTCGGTGGGCACGCCAGCCTGCCTGCCCTTGCCTCACTCTGGCGACACCCTTCACTCAGTCAAGACAGTAGTCCTACTAGCTCTCTCTCGTGGGATGGCCCTGCCCGGGCCATGGGCACAACACACAAGCCTGTGTACCCACCACAACTTAACAATAAAGTAAGAAGCCTCCGAACGTGTATCATTAACCACCCGCTTTCAGCTCTACCAAATAATCTCGTTATAAATGGTGGGAAACGGTGGTCACAGCAGTTGTGTTTGCCCGGAGAGAGGAAGGAAGGGATAAAGTCATCTTCACTTCATCACCCCATGCAAGAAGCATCCGTCTCTCAACGAGTTATCCTGCTGTCGTGTCTGCACGTTTGAGCATCCAGACACAGGTACAAGCAGGATCCAGCCGAAATTTGCAGAATTTCTTCGAGAATTATAAGCGTCCCACACTGTTTCTCAAGTCACATGTTCAGCGTCACTTGTATGTTGCTGTTGTTGTTCAGCTCAGCACAGCTGTTTCAGCAAGCCAGAGGTGAGTTTTGTGGTGATTTCTGCGTCCAGTGTGAGCTTCTCCACGCGTTTGTGGGTGGGGGAGGAGGAGGAGGAAGTGGCCGTTCCTCACCTTGCCCATGCTCGCCCTGCTCATGCTAACCCATACACTCACCACTGCCCACTCCCTCTGCTGAGTTTTCCGCTGTTTTCCATGTGAATTCATTGCCAGAGCTGTGTATCCGAGTGCCCGAGGCCACTCGAAGCTACGCGGATCAGCATGCCACGTAGATCACGACGCCACGTGGACCCCGACGCCACGTTGGGTGTGGGCTGTGTCACGTGGATCTACAAGCCAAGTGAGTTACTGAGCCAGATGTCCCAGGCCTCATGCTATGGTCTGCTGCCCACATCACATTGACGTAACCGACGATGCTGCCCGACTTCATGACATCACGATGTCTGCCTGACGTCACTTCGAGATGTCTGCTGACGTCACAGTGCTGCTGACGTCACCTCGCGACATCACACTTGACATCACATGATGTCACATCGAGTGTTTCTAGTAATTATTTCAGTATTGTCGAGAAGATTGATAGAAGATATATGTCGTGTGTTAATTAATTCCTCTCAGTCAGTGTTCTCACAAGTTAGTGTACCGCATGTACCGCGGGTGTGTGAAGTTTCCATGTGTCCAGTGAGGTCTGAGCCAGACCTGAGTAGCACCACTGTGCTAAGTCACCCTATGTGACCAGTGCGTTTGACAGCTGTTATCAGTCAGCTCTGAGCCCGAGCCCCCTTGTACAGGAAGCTCTTATGCTCGTCGCTCATAGATGTTCTGCAGAATCGTACCTGCTTCGATTCCCATTGAGATTTGTTTCACTTCACCTCCAGACCTTCAGAATGCAGTTATATGTAGAGAAACAAGTCTGGGGACGCTTAGACTAACCTCTGCTATAACTCCAACTGCCGAGAGAATGACACTCGTCAAGCCACAGTTAGCCCTGCCAGCAGGCACTGTGTCAGCCTCGTGTCACAAGCTTCAGTGAGCTCCTGCACAAAGATGATGTCACTTTGACTGCTAGCTCGCTCACTGCAGTCTGGTGTATGATGTTACGACTCCCAGATGTTTCGCCCAGTCGTCTCTGCCACGACTCGCTCCACAACTCGCTCCACGCTCGCTGGCAGTGACAGACCAGTGACAGTACCAGTCGAGAAGTGTCCTCCTGAGTCGCTTGCCAGAAGTCCTGCCCAGTTGCCGAGTTTTGAGGGCACCAGCATGTCGTGCCCCAGGTTGAGTGAAAACCTGCAGCGACTCCTACGACGTCTGCTTCACTGTTCCAGAGGAGACCGTAACCTGTTACATCACAGCTCTGCCGCAGCGATGTCTCCTGTGTTGCAGTATCTGTCCAGATGCAGGAAGACGTGCAGTGATGCCCTTCGACGCTCACTGCCTATGACCACGATGTTTAGCACACCCCACATGTTTTTATCTTCCCTCTCTGTAGGAAGTTTTTTTTTTCCATGTCCATATGTATATATATGTTTCTATTTTGTGTTCTGTGCCCTGTTCCTATGAGAGAGAGACCGAGTTTTTTTTACTACCAGTATTGTTGCGTCGGGACGACGTGAGGTAGGTGGCCAAGCATATGTAGACAGCCTGTACTGTCTGCACGGACAGCCCATGCTGTCTGCCAGCTTAGTTCATATTTCGCGGCACTAAGGTGCTGCCCTCTGTAGACAGGCCTCTCGGTGGGCACACCAGCCTGCATGCCCTTGCCTCACTCTGGCGACACCCTTCACTCAGTCAAGACAGTAGTCCTACTAGCTCTCTCTCGTGGGATGGCCCTGCCCGGGCCATGGGCACAACACACAAGCCTGTGTACCCACCACAACTTAACAATAAAGTAAGAAGCCTCCGAACGTGTATCATTAACCACCTGCTTTCAGCTCTACCAAATAATCTCGTTATATCTTCAAGACCCCTGGCTGTCTTCAAGACCCCTGGCTGTCTTCAAACCCCTGGCTGTCTTCAAGACCCCTGGCTGTCTTCAAGACCTCTGGCTGTCTTCAAGACCCCTGGCCGTCTTGAAGAACCCTGGCCGTCTTCAAGACCTCTGGCCGTTTTCAACACCCCTGGCTGTCTTCAAGACCCCTGGCTTTCTTCAAGAACCCTGGCCGTCTTTAAGATCTCTGGCCGTTTTCAAGACCACTGGCTGTCTTCAAGACCCCTGGCTGTCTTCAAGACCCCTGGCTGTCTTCAAGACCCCTGGCTGTCTTCAAGACCCTGGCTGTCTTCAAGACCTCTGGCTGTCTTCAAGACCCCTGGCCGTCTTGAAGAACCCTGGCCGTCTTCAAGACCTATGGCCGTTTTCAACACCCCTGGCTGTCTTCAAGACCCCTGGCTGTCTTCAAGACCCCTGGCTGTCTTCAAGACCCCTGGCTGTCTTCAAGACCCCTGGCAATCTTCAAGACCCCTGGCTGTCTTCAAGAACCCTGGCCGTCTTCAAGACCTCTGGCCGTTTTCAAGACCCGTAGCTGTCTTCAAGAAGGCACTAGATTGGCACCTAAAGCCAGTACCTGACCAGCCGGGCTGTAGTTCGTACGTCGGTTTACGTGTGGCCAGCAGTAACAGCATGATTGATCAGACCCTGATCCACCACAACGCCTTGTCTCAGACCGGCCCGCGGGGGATGATTTTCCCCGAAATCCTCTCCAGGTATACCCCAGGTATACACAGTTATACTCCAGGTATACTCCAGGTATACCTCGCAAATTTTAAAGACCACTTTAGATAACATTCAACTGAATCACTTATTACAGATCACTTTATTACCCAGTGATCCGCAAATCAACGTCAACTGAATCACTTATTACAGATCACTTTCTTACCCAGTGATCCGCAAATCAACGTCAACTGAATCACTTATTACAGATCACTTTCTTACCCAGTGATCCGCAAATCAACGTCAACTGAATCACTTATTACAGACCACTTTCTTACCCAGTGATCCGCAAATCAACGTCAACTGAATCACTTATTACAGATCACTTTCTTACCCAGTGATCCGCAAATCAACGTCAACTGAATCACTTATTACAGACCACTTTCTTACCCAGTGATCCGCAAATCAACGTCAACTGAATCACTTATTACAGATCACTTTCTTACCCAGTGATCCGCAAATCAACGTCCACTTACACCCATTATCATCTCTCCAGTTAATTGTTGTCCAATATTACGATCATCTGTTCTTCCAGCAATAGAGAAAGTGTCAAGAAACAGCAGAGAATAGCAGAGCACGTAGAGCAACAGCAGAGAATAGCAGACTATGTAGAGCAACAGCAGAGAATAGCAGACTATGTAGAACAACAGCAGAGAATAGCACACTATGTAGAGCAACAGCAGAGAAAAGCAGACTATGTAGACCAACAGCAGAGACTAGTAGACCACGTAGAGCAACAGCAGAGAATAGCAGACCACGTAGAGCAACAGCAGAGAATAGCAGACCACGTAGAGCAACAGCAGAGAATAGAAGACCACGTAGAGCAACAGCAGAGAATAGCAGACCACGTAGAGCAACAGCAGAGAATAGAAGACCACGTAGAGCAACAGCAGAGAATAGCAGACCACGTAGAGCACAGCAGAGAATAGCAGACCACGTAGAGCAACAGCAGAGAATAGAAGACCACGTAGAGCAACAGCAGAGAATAGCAGACCACGTAGAGCAACAGCAGAGAATAGAAGACCACGTAGAGCAACAGCAGAGAATAGCAGACCACGTAGAGCAACAGCAGAGAATAGCAGACCACGTAGAGCAACAGCAGAGAATAGCAGACCACGTAGAGCAACAGCAGAGAATAGCAGACCACAAAGAACATCAACAGAAAACAACAGACCACAAAGAACAACAACAGAAAACAACAGACCACAAAGAACAACAACAGAAAACAACATACCACAAAGAACATCAACAGAAAACAACAGACCACAAAGAACAACAACAGAAAACAACATACCACAAAGAACATCAACAGAAAACAACAGACCACAAAGAACAACAACAGAAAACAACAGACCACAAAGAACAACAACAGAAAACAACAGACCACAAAGAACATCAACAGAAAACAACAGACCAAAAAGAACAACAACAGAAACAACAGACCACAAGAGCAACAGAAAACAACAGACCACAAAGAGCAACAGAAAACAACAGACCACAAAGAGCAACAACAGAAAACAACAGACCACAAAGAACAACAACAGAAAACAACAGACCACAAAGAGCAACAACAGAAAACAACAGACATCAAAGAGGAACAACAGAAAAAAACAGACCACAAAGAGAAGCAACAGAAAACAACAGACCACAAAGAGCAACAGCAGAAAACAACAGACCACAAAGAGCAACAACGAAAACAACAGACCACAAAGAGCAACAACAGAAAACAACAGAAACAAAGAGGAACAACAGAAAACAAGAGACCACAATGAGCAACAACAGAAAACAAGAGACCACAATGAGCAACAACAGAAAACAAGAGACCACAAAGAGTAACAACAGAAAACAACAGACCACAAAGAGCAACAACAGAAAACAACAGACCACAAAGAGCAACAAGAGAAAACAACAGACCTCAAAGAACAACAACAGAAAACAACAGCCCACAAAGAGCAACAACAGAAAACAACAGACCACAAAGAGCAACAACAGAAAACAACAGACAACAAAGAGCAACAATAGAAAACAACAGACCACAAAGAACAACAACAGAAAACAACAGATCACAAAGAGCATCAACAGAAAACAACAGACCACAAAGAGCAACAACAGAAAATAACAGACCACAAAGAGCAACAACAGAAAACAACAGACCACAAGGAGCAAAAATAGAAAACAACAGACCACAAAGAACAACAACAGAAAACAACAGATCACAAAGAGCAACAACAGAAAACAACAGACCACAAAGAGCAACAACAGAAAACAACAGACCACAAAGAGCAACAGTAGAAAACACAACAGACCACAACAACAACAACAACAGAAAACAACAGATCACAAAGAGCAACAACAGAAAAAAACAGACCACAAAGAACAAAAAAACAGAAAACAACAGACCTCAAAGAGCAACAGAAAACAACAGACCACAAAGAGCAACAGAAAACAACAGACCACAAAGAGCAACAACAGAAAACAACAGACCACAAAGAGCAACAATAGAAAACAACAGACCACAAAGAACAACAACAGAAAACAAACAGATCACAAAGAGCAACAACAGAAAACAACAGACCACAAAGAGCAACAACAGAAAATAACAGACCACAAAGAGCAACAACAGAAAACAACAGACCACAAAGAGCAACAATAGAAAACAACAGACCACAAAGAACAACAACAGAAAACAACAGATCACAAAGAGCAACAACAGAAAACAACAGACCACAAAGAGCAAAAACAGAATACAACAGACCACAAAGAGCAACAGAAAAACAACAGACCACAAAGAGCAACAACAGAAAACAACAGACCACAAAAAGCAACAGAAAACAACAGACCACAAAAAGCAACAACAGAAAACAACAGACCACAAAGAGCAACAACAGAAAACAACATACCACAAAAAGCAACAACAGAAAACAACAGACGACATAGAGTTGTCAAGATATATATATTTACTTCTCCATGCAATTTATATATTTACTGCTTCATGCAATTCCAATCTAAGTGGTATCTACGTCGCAACAGTAGACTAACATCCAGGTACTTGCACGAAGCGATGTAAAGTGTTAGCTGCTATATTCAGTGTCAACAGTGTTAGCTGCTATATTCAGTGTCAACAGTGTTAGCTGCTATATTCAGTGTCAACAGTGTTAGCTGCTATATTCAGTGTCAACAGTGTTAGCTGCTATATTCAGTGTCAACATTGTTAGCTGTTATATTCAGTGTCAACAGTGTTAGTTTGCTATATTCAGTGTCAACAGTGTTAGCTGCTATATTCAGTGTCAACAGTGTTAGCTGCTATATTCAGTGTCAACAGTGTTAGCTGCTATATTCAGTGTCAACAGTGTTAGCTGCTATTTTCAATGTCAACAGTGTTAGCTGCTATATTCAGTGTCAACAGTGTTAGCTGCTATATTCAGTGTCAACAGTGTTAGCTGCTATATTCAATGTCAACAGTGTTAGCTGCTATACTGAGTGTCAACAGTGTTAGTTGCTATATTCAGTGTCAACAGTGTTAGCTGCTATATTCAGTGGAACCGGTTCCCTCCTTGAAGGCGACTTCTTGTATGATAATCTACTAGACCCCAAGATGCATATTTTTCTTTAATTCTAAGTACTCGTTTTTGTACATCGCATCAAAATTTTCATAAAACCACGAAAAAAACACTTTAAAAATTAAATATAACTGAGGGTTGAATGTTCACTTTCTACTGAGGAAAATAAAATCAATAAAATAAATTAGCGAGGGTGAAGGAAAATCTTATTAACCTTCTGAAAAAAAATTATCAATATTCGAAAATAATTGAAGTGTATTCTTACTATGTCAAAATTATGCAAGAATGGTATATAATACCGGCAAGATGAAATTAAGACACAGGTGCAACATCTGGGTATCTTTATTGTAGACGTTTCGCCACTGGATGGCGAAACGTCTAAAATAAAGATACCCCGATGTTTCACATGTGTCTTAATTTCAGGTCAAAATTAGCTACTTAAACCAAGCATAAACAAGTAACAGAAAATATAATTGGAATCTTTGATTTAGACAAGTCAACCAAGTCAGTTGGGTAAAAAGTGCTGGATCAGTTTTACCATTACTAAAAATTATTATAAAAAGTAATTGCAAATTCATATTTGTAAGATATCATTAATTTTTACTTACTAGTGTCAGGAGTTTCAAGTGAACAGCATTCACTGTGTCCACTGGTGTTAGTCACACTTACACAAACATTGTAGTTTGTGTATGGTACAGATCTTTCCAACGTGTCACATAACCAAGTCTCATTCTGCCAGTCCTGGTTGGTGCTGTTAAACTCTGAAAGAAATAATGTGATGAGGGATATTCATAGGCTGGATAAAGATATATAGAATGCTCTCCATTAAAAAAAAATCAGCTGTTTAGAAATTTAATTTTAAATGCAAATGTTTATAATCATTGATTTATATATATTTTGCTTATGTATAGAAACTTAAATAAGGGATATATATTAACTGACCATGATCTGAGTTATCAGTCCACATCTTGGCACCATCCCAGGTGACAGTGTAGCCGGGCATAGGGCACTCAGCAGGGGAGGGCGTCCAGCACACATTTATACTATCATCCTCAAGTGAACAATTCGAGATGGTTGGCATAACTACCAAAGAAATGATATACTTTAATTCACTCTTTTCAACACGTTTGAACTTGTGATTTTGATCAATTATAAGTTCAGGTCCTGGTCAAAACCCAGCCTTCATATTATTAGTTCTGCCTACACTTATTATATATATATATATATATATATATATATATAAAATTATATATATAAAATATATAAAAATATATATATATATATATATTTATATATATATATATATATATATATATAATTTTATTTTATATATATATATATATATATATATATATATTATCACACTGGCCGATTCCCACCAAAGGGCAGGTGCCCGAAAAAGAAAAACTTTCACCATCATTCACTCCATCACTGTCTTGCCAGAAGGTGCTTTACCTACAGTTTTAAACTGCAACATTAACACCCCTCCTTCAGTGTGCAGGCACTGTATTTTCCCATCTCCGGGACTCAAGCCCGGGCCTGCCGGTTTCCCTAAATCCCTTCATAAATGTTACTTTTGCTCACACTCCAACAGCACGTCAAGTATTAAAAACCATTTGTCTCCATTCACTCCTTTTCAAACACGCTCATGCATGCCTCCTGGAGTCCAAGCCCCTCGCACACAAACCTCCTTTACCCCTCCCTCCAACCTTTCCTAGGCCTACCCCTACCCCGCCTTCCTTCCACTACAGACTGATACACTCTTGAAGTCATTCTGTTTTCGCTCCATTCTCTCTACATGTCCGAACCACCTCAACAACCTTCCTCACCCTCTGGACACAGTTTTTGGTAATCCCGCACCTCCTCCTAACTTCCAAACTACGAATTCTCTGCATTATATTTACAACCACACATTGCCCTCAGACATACATCTCCATGCCTCCAGCCTTTTCCTCGCTGCAACATTCATCACCCACGCTTCACACCCATATAAGAGCGTTGGTAAAACTATACTCTCATACATTCCCCTCTTTGCCTCCAAGGACAAAGTCTTTGTCTCCACAGACTCCTAAGTGCACCACACACTCTTTTTTTCCCCCATCAATTCTATGATTCACCCTCATCTTTCATAGACCCATCCGCTGACACGTCCACTCCCAAATATCTGAATACTTTTACCCCTCCATACTCTCTCCCCCAATCTATATTCAATCTTTCACACCTAATCTTTTTGTTATCCTCATAACCTTATTTTTTCCTGTATTCACCTTTAATTTTCTTCTTTTGCACACCTACCAAATTCATCCACCAATCTCTGCAACTTCTCTTCAGAATCTCCCAAGACACAGTGTCCCTCAGCAAAGAGCGCTGTGACAACTCCCACTTTGTTTTGTGATTCTTTATCTTTTAACTCCACGCCTCTTGCCAAGACCTCGCATTTACTTCTCTTACAACCCCATCTATAAATTTTTTAAACAACCACGGGGACATCACACATCCTTGTCTAAGGCCTACTTTTACAGGGAAAAAAATTTCCCTCTTTCCTACATACTCTAACTTGAGCCTCACTATCCTCGTAAAACTCTTCACTCTTTCAGTAACCTACCTCCACACCATTACCCCTTGCAACATCTGCCCATTGCCCCCCTATCCACCCTGGTAACGCCTTTTTCCAAAACCTAAATCCCCAAAACCTTTTACCTTTTAAAACTGTTCACTTTTATGTTTACTGTAAACCCCCTGGGCCACACACCCCCTACCTTTCCTAAAACCTCCTTGTTTTTATCTGCTTTCCCATTCTCCGTCTTACCTTTAATTCTTCAATTATAACTTACATACATTTTTCCCCGGTACACTCCGACTTACCCCCCCCTTAAAATTTTTTTGGCCCCTTTTCTTTTACCCCCTTTCCCTTTTTTAAAAAGGGAAACTTTGCAGCCTCGGGGCCAATCCCTGGGGTTCCCTTTAACCCTCTTCCATACATTTTTTAAAAAATTTGAAAAAAAACCAAACCAAAAACTATATCCCCCCCCTGTTTTAAAATTTTTCTATTTTAAATCCCATCAATCCCGGCTGCCTTCCCCCTTTTTCCTTTTTGCCTATTTGCCTAAAGGGAATTTCCCCCCACACTCAAAAATTTGGCTCTTTCCTCACCCCTTTTTAAAGGGTTTTTATTCCCCCTTGCCCTATACACAAAATCACAGCTTCCCTTTCTTTCAACATTTAAAAAATTCTTCAAAAAAACCCCTTTCCATTTTCCCCCAATACCTCTAACTCTCCATTTAAAACTCTACTCCCTATTTTTAACTGCCCAAATCCATTTGTTCTCAAAGGCCCTTTCTTAACTTGTTAATTTCCCCCACCCCCCCAAAATTTTTCTTTTTTTCCAACAAAATTTGTTGATAACATTCACCCACTCTCTCATTTGCTCTCTTTTTAAACCTTGCTTCCCCACTTTTTAAACCCTTTTCTCTTTTTCTAAATTTTCTCTTCCCCCCCTTGCATCATTTTCTACTTTTTTAAAAATTTTTAATATGCTAACTTTTTCCCCAAACTACCCCTTTTTTACATAAATCTTTCCCCACCAATCGCCCCTCTTCCCTCCCCCCCCCCCATTTTTCCTGTAACCCAAACTTTTTTGCTAAAACACTCTAACAAACTTTTTAAATCCCCCCCATACCTCTTCGAACCCCATTGCCTTGTCAATTTGGCCCCCTCTATCCTCCAATAGCTGTTTATATTTACCCTAATGCCCCCCTCTTTTAGTTTAAAAAAACCTTCAACCCCTCCTTCCCCCGATGCTTTTATTCTCCTTGTAAAACCCTCTAAATTTTTCCCCTCTCAGTGTAGCTACAACTAAAAAAGTGGGTCTGGTATTTTGTGGGCCCCTCTATAAACATGTTAAAATTTGAAGTTATCAGCAGGCTTTTTTTCTACCAATAATAATCCCAAAAAACTACTGTTTTTTTCCCCCTTTCCTCATATCTTGTATACTTATTTTCCCTTTTTTTAAAATAAGTATTACCTAAAAATAAAACCCTTTTTTACCCCAAAGTTCAATAAAAAGGGGTTCCCCTTTTCATTTACCCCTGGAAAACCCCCAAACTTACCTACCACACCCTCTCTAAAAGTTTCTCCTACTTTTGAATTCAGGTCCCCCACCACAAATTTCTTCTCCCCTTTTTTCAAAGGCTCCTATACATTCATTAACATCTCCCCCAAAAACCCCTCCCCTCCTCCTTGCATTTCCCCTCTTCTCCAAGGTGCAAAACAAAGCTTAATATGACCCACCCTTCCCCGCACCAAAACCCTTTTCTTTAATCCCCCAAAAATTCTTTAATTTACACATTCATTTTTTTCTTTTTCCCCCTTTCCCTAAAGATCATTTAACATTTAAGGGTAACCCCCTTTCCTTTTCTCTAACCTCTCCAATCTCCAGATTTAAACCCCTTTATTTCCCCCCCCTGAAACTCCCTACCCCCTTCACTTTTTTTTCGCTTAAAAGCCAAGGGAAAATCCAACTTCTTTTTTTTCATAACATCAAACAATTTATCTGTTTCTTGGGCTTTGCACTACATCCACGCCCCTTTAAAACAACCCCGTTTTTTATAAAGTTTTTTTTTCTTCTCTTTTTAGTAAATGTTTTACAGGAGAAAAGGGGTTTCTAGCCCATTGGGTCCCGGGATTTTAGTCGCCCCCATACCACGGGATGGCTTAAAGGAGGAAAGATTCTTTTCCACTTCCCCATTGGGCAAAAGAAGAAAAAAAGAAAGAGTATTTAGAAAAGGGGGGAATAAAAAAGAAAGTATGTAAAATATATATATGCATGTGCGTGTCGTGAAGTGTGACCCAAAATGTAAGTAGGAGTAGCAAGATAACCCCGTTATCTTAGCGGTTTTTGAACAGAAAAAGAAAACCCGCCCTTTCCCACCATCATGCCCAAAAAATTTTTCAAAGGTTTTTTTTTCACAGTCAACTGGAGGAAAGGTTTGTACTTCCCGGTTTGGGTTTCTGTCTTCAACCCCACTACCTTTTTTTATATTTATTATATATTTTTTATATTAAAAAATTTAAAAAATTTATATATATATTTATATAATATATATAATATATAAATATTTTATATATTATATATATTTTATATATAATATATATGTCGTGCCCAATATGTAAAAAACCCAAATCAAAATTTGCAAGAACTCATTTTAAAAAATTAAAATCCCCTTTTTTGAAATTTTCTTTTATACTTTTAAAAAATATATTTTTTTTCATTAATGTTAATGTTAAAAAAATTTTAATTTTCCCCAAAAGAAACTTAGAAAACTTACCTTTTCCTTATTTTAACAAGCGGGAATTTTTTTTTTGGGCCAAAAACCCCCCTCAAATATATTTTAGTTTGTTTACAATAATTTTTAAAAATAAAAAAACACAGTGGGAAAAAATTTTTTTCGTTAGGTTCAAATGATTTGGGGAATTATTGCAATTTCCCCCAATTTTTTATTGTCCCATATGGGAAATGAACGTTGCTTTTTTTAAACCCCAAAAATCGCAATTCCCCCTATTCGGCACACATAAAGTAATTTAATTTTATTTTATTTTTAATAATTTTTAAAAATAATATATAATATATATTAAAGCTTTCCCTTTTCCTTTGCACTTTTGGGGTGGGGTTGTTAATGATCCAAGTTTTGATTTAAAAGTCTACATTTTTTTTCTCTCGTGTGCCCGGTTTTTTGAGTAAAGAAAATATACAATTATTTTTATTTTTAAAAATACAAAACCCCCTAAAACCCTTTAAAGACAAAAAGTTTTTTAACATTACATTTTTTTTTGTGCAAAAAAAACACAGGAGGGCCAACCACATGTTTAAAAAAGAAATCACGTGCACAGTTAAAACCAAATTTACGATTCAGTTCCCCTCAGGCCGAACCCAATCACACAAAAATTTAAAATTTTTCCCTGGAGATGGAGATGTTTTTATTGTGATGAATACCCCTTTTTGGGGGATAAAATAGACAAAAATTTTTCATGCTATAAAGAAATATTTTCTGTACGAAAAATTATTTATATTAGTTTTTTCTTGGGGAAATACCCTAAAACCCAAAATAAAACCCAAAAACCCAACCTAACCCAACCTTTAAACCCAAACCCAAAAAACCTAAACCCAACTTAACCCAACCTAACTTAACCTAAAACCCGATTTAACCTTAAACCCAACCTAACCCCAAAAACCCAACCTAACCATAAATAAAAATTTAAACCCAACCTAACCTAACCTAACCCAACCTAACCCAACCCCAACCTAACCCAACCTAACCTAACCAACCCTAACCTAACCAACCCCTAAAACCCCAACCTAACCTAACCCAACACCAACCCAAACCTAACCTAACCTAAACTAACCTAACCTAACCTAACCTAACCTACCTAACCTAATCAAACCCTAACCTAACCCAACCTAACCTAACCTAACCTAAACTAACCTAACCCAACCTAACCTAACCTAACCTAACCTAACCAACCCAAACCTAACCTAACCAAACCCCAACCTAACATAACCAAACCCAAACAAAAACCTAACCCAACCTAACCTAACCTAACCTAAACCTAACCTAACCTAACCTAACCTAACCTAACCTAACCTAACCTAAACTAACCTAACCTAACCTAACCTAACCTAACCTAACCTAACCTAACCTAACCTAACCTAACCTAACCTAACCTAACCTAACCTAAACTAACCAAACCCTAACCTAACCTAACCTAACCTAACCCAACCTAACCTAACCTAACTAAACAAACCCTAACCTAACCTAACCTAACCTAACCTAACCTAACCTAACCTAACCTAACCTAACCTAACCAAACCCTAACCTAACCAACCAAAACCCAACCTAACCTAACCTAACCTAACCTAACCTAACCTAACCTAACCTAACCTAACCTAACCTAACCTAACCTAACCTAACCTAACCTAACCTAGCTGAAATCATTAACTAGTAAATTTTACTTCTAACTTAAAGATATTTTGCTAATATTTTCTATATTAAGTATTAAAACATTTATTATTATTATAATCAAGGGGGTAGCGCTAAACCCGGAGGATTATACAGCACCTGGGGGGGATGTGGAAGGCATTCAGGCTTAATTCGGGGAACTGGAGCACAGATCCAATTCCCTAAATCAAGAGCCCCTCACCAACATCAAGGAACCTTCCTTGAGGGGAAGTATTAAAACAAGAAGTAACTATTTCTTCCGGGGTACACAGATGTTGTTAGTAAAGGGCAGAGTTAGTAAAGGGCAGAGTTAGTAAAGGGCAGAGTTAGTAAAGGGCAGAGTTTTTTAAAGGGCAGAGTTAGTAAAGGGCAGAGTTAGTAAAGGGCAGAGTTAGTAAAGGGCAGAGTTAGTAAAGGGCAGAGTTAGTAAAAGGCAGAGTTAGTAAAGGGCAGAGTTAGTAAAGGGCAGAGTTAGTAAAGGGCAGAGTTAGTAAAAGGCAGAGTTAGAAAAAGGGCAGAGTTAGTAAAGGGCAGAGTTAGTAAAGGGCAGAGTTAGTAAAGGGCAGAGTTTGTAAAGGGCAGAGTTAGTAAAGGGCAGAGTTTGTAAAGGCAGAGTTAGTAAGGGCAGAGTTAGTAAAAAGGGGAGAGTTGTTTAAAGGGCAGAGTTAGTAAAGGGCAAGAGTTTTGTAAGGGCAGAGGGGTTTGTAAAGGGCAGAAGTTAGTAAAGGGCAGAGTTTGTAAAGGGCAGAGTTAGTAAAGGGCAGAGGTTAGTAAAAGGGCAGAGTTAGTAAAGGGCAGAGTTAGTAAAGGGGAGAGTTAGTAAAAGGGCAGAGTTTTAGGTCAGGACTATACCTCAGGGGCTAGCGTTTTTCGTGAAGATAAATTTCCCAAAAATATTTAAGTTTTAAAACAGTAAATGTTAGGTAGACAACATATTCAACAAATTAGATATTTATTTCGAAATAAAGATACCTAACTGTTGCATATGTGTCTTACCTAACAACCTGTCGGTATTTTATACCATTTTAATGTTCATAAAACAGTAATGATGGTAACACTTACCAACACCATCGATGAGACAAGAGATTGTGTCAGACTCAGGACCCCAGTTTTCAGCTTCAGTTTTTGCCTTGACAGTAAAGTCGTACATTCCACACACTTGTAAGTCAGGAATATTGACCTCAGTTTCACTACCAGACACAATTATTTTATTAAGGTCAGTTTCAATCACAAAGTCGACCTCATAGCTTAAAATTACGCCATTTGCTTCCTCAGGAGGTGTCCAGGTAACATAAGCCGACCCATCAGATGATGTTACATTGATGATAATTGGTGATCCTGGTTCTGTCGCGGTAATAAATGAGAACAATTACATTATGGCTAACACTGCCAGAGAAAATTATTATTACATTATTATTACATTATTATTACATACACTACCTCTGGAATGGATAGAAATCTAATTTGACCCAAGAAAGAGAATGCTGACTTCGAAATCTTTCTATCACTTAGTTTCCAATTCTTTGGATAAAGAGCAATACGGTAAGTGATTAAAATACGGCAGATCGAGCCTTCACTGCTACTTACGCTTATCACACCTGTTTAGTACGTTATATAAATGTTGAAATAAGGTTTATCAAAACATTATCTAAAACAGCAAATTGTCTAAACCACGTTGCATATCAATCATCAGTGTTGCATGGATTTAAAGTGAATTCTTATTTTAATTATTGAAATGTTCCAAATATTTCATGTGCATTTGCCAGTGTGGCATTGGCCGAGTATGTTACATTTAATTCGACATTCGTCACACACCCATTTTGCCTGCCCTCACGACCAGTGAACTGGCAGTTTAGAGTGTGGCAGTTCTGGGGCCTTACTGTTGCTCTTATTGTCCAGTTAAATCATCCAGTCACGTGGAAGCCGCCTGCTTCAGCCAGGGTGACGTTACATCAGTTTACCTGGTTGAGTGGCAGACTTCCCCGGACACTGGTGGTAACCACTCCTCCTTTCAGTCTCTCTGAATTGTAGCATTTCAATCTGACTTCCTCTCTAATTGTTAATGTTGTATTGTAATGTATTGTACTGTATCATTAATGTTGTATTGGTGATGAAATACATTGGTAAAGATATATACCCCTGCTTTTTTGTTTTGTCTTGCTCTGCTCTGCAAGATTTGATTGTTGATTTATTACTACCAGGTACCAGCACTACGCCCTTGGGTGGGTTTAGAACTTAGTTCTGAAAAATAATAATAATAATATAATAATAATATAAATATGACCAAGTGCTACAGGTCTTCAGACTTCACAGTTTCAAAACACCATAACACAGATATCAACATCTTTTCTCAAAACAATTTATACAGAATTTTGTGTCTAACCAGAGGTTTCTCAATGATACTGTTTATTGCTTAGGTGGAAAATGATAAGAACACCTTTTCATAAATTTACCATTGAAAAGACTTTTTACAGTTGAATCTTCACTTAGGCTGTAAGAACTCTCTCAAGGCCCTCAAACCGCTATCTGACTCCCAAATCGTAATCCACCATTTCAACAAACCACGAGGAGGACTTGACTAGAGTTCGCCACAGTCACGCTGGCTGGAGATTCATCTGTTGATTAGTCTTATTAGAGCCACCTGCCCCAGTGGCAATGCACTGGTTGGAGTTGGACTCACCTGCCTGGTCAAAACCCCCCCATTCCAGGCTTTAGATTCGTGTGACTTTACAATCCAGGGAATGTTAGTGGTTTGCAAATTCTTAAGAATACTTTATAAAATGTGATCATGCAACCTTGTCAAGAAATAAAATTTGAGTTTTAGAAAAGGTGCACCTCACTTGGCACACCGTCTGTGAGGTGGCCCCCTCCTTGGAGAAACCGTCTGTGAGGTGCACCTCACTTGGAGGCACCGTCTTGTGAGGTGCACCTCACTTGGGAGCACCGTCTTGTGAGGTGGCACCTAAACTTGGAGCCCGTCTTGTGAGTGGCACCTCACTTGGGAGGCACCGTCTTTGGGGTGCACTCACTTGGGAGCACCGTCTTTTTTGGGGCGGCACCCTCACTGGGAGGCACCGTCCTTGTGAGGTAGCACCTCACTTGGGACACCGTCTTACATCCTCTCCCTCAATAATTTCCCCTCTCCCTCATAACTCTTGCTTCCCTCCCTCAGTAATTCTTGCTTCCTCTCCCTCAGTAATTTCTGCTTCCCTCCCTCAGTAACTTCTTGCTTCCTCTCCCCCATAACTTCCCTCCCCCTAAAGTAACTTCCTCTCACTCAGTAACTTCCTCTCACCATAACTTCCTCTCCCTCAGTAACTTCCCTCTCACTCAGTAACTTCCTCTCCCTCAGTAACTTCCTCTCTCTCAGTAACTTCCTCTCACTCAGTAACTTCCTCTCCCTCAGTAACTTCCTCTCCTCAGTAACTTCCTTCCCTCAGTAACTTCCCTCACTCAGTAACTTCCCCTCCTTCATTTAACTTCCTCTCCTCATAACTTCCTCTCCCTCATAACTTCCTCTCCCTCATACTTCCCCTCCCTCAGTAACTTCCTCTCCCTCATAACTTCCTCCCCTCATAACTTCCTCTCCCTCAGAAACTTCCTCTCCCTCAGTAACTTCCCTCCCTCATAGCTTCCTCTACCTCAGTAAATTCTTGCTTCCTCTCCCTCAGTAACTTCTTGCGTCCTCTCCCCTCAGTAACTTCCTCTCCCACTCAGTAAACTTCCCTCTCCCTCAGTAACTTCCTCTCTCTCAGTAATTTCCCTTTCTCCCTCATAATTCCTCTCCCTCAGTAATTCCTCTCCCTCAGCAACTTCCTCACCCTCAGTAATTTCTCTTTTTCTCCCCCCCATTTACTTCTTGTTCCCTCTCCCTCAGTAAATTCTTGCTTCCTTCCCTCAGTAACTTCTTTTCCTCAGTAACTTCCTCTCCCTCAGAAACTTCCTCTCCCTCAGTAACTTCTTGCTTCCTCTCCCTCAGTAATTTCTTGCTTCCTCTCCCTCAGTAATTTCTTGCTTCCTCTCCCTCAGTAACTTCTTGCTTCCTCTTCCCTCAGTAACTTCCTTCCTCCCCCAAAACTTCCTTCCCTCCCTCAGTAACTTCTTGCTTCCTCTCCCTCATAATTCTTGCTTCCCCCCTCAAAATTTCTTGCTTCCTCTCCCTCAGTAACTTCTTGCTTCCTCTCCCTCAGTAATTTCTTGCTACCTCTCCCTCAGTAACCTCTTGCTTCCTCTCCCTCAGTAACTTCCTCTCCCTCAGTAACCTCTTGCTTCCTCTCCCTCAGTAATTTCTTGCTTCCTCTCCCTCAGTAACTTCTTGCTTCCTCTCCCTCAGTAACTTCCTCTCCCTCAGTAACTTCCTCTCCCTCAGTAACTTCTTGCTTCCCTCTCCCTCATAACTTCTTGCTTCCCTCCCTCAGTAACTCTTGCTTCCTCTCCCCCCATAACTTCCCTCCCTCAGTAACTTCTTTTTCCCCCACTCCCTCGTAATTTCAAGGTCCCTCCTCCCTCAGTAACTTCTTGTTTCCCTCCCTCATAACTTCCTTCTCCCTCAGTAACTTCTTGCTTCCTCTCCCTCAGTAACTTCTTGCTTCCACTCACTCAGTAACTTCTAGGTCCCTCTCCCTCAGTAACTTCTTGCTTCCTCTCCCTCAGTAATTCTTGCTTCCTCTCCCTCATAAATCTTGCTCCTCTCCCTCATAACTTCTTCTCCTCTCCCTCAGTAACTTCCTCTCACTCAGTAACTTCCTCTCCCTCAGTAACTTCCTCTCACTCAGTAACTTCCTCTCCCTCAGTAACTTCCTCTCTCTCAGTAACTTCCTCCCCACTCAGTAACTTCCTCTCCCTCAGTAACTTCCTCTCACTCAGTAACTTCCTCTCCCTCAAACTTCCTCTCACTCATATTTCTCCTCCCCCCTCAGTAACTTCCTCTCCCTCAGTAACTTCCTCTCCCTCAGTAACTTCCTCTCCCTCAGTAACTTCCTCTCCCTCAGTAACTTCCTCTCCCTCAGTAACTTCCTCTCCTTCAGTAACTTCCACTCCCTCAGTAAGCTTCCTCTCCCTCAGTAACTTCCTCTCCCTCAGTTACTTCTTGCTCCCTCTCCCTCAGTAAATTCTTGCTTCCTCTCCCTCAGTAACTTCTTGCTTCCTCTCCCTCAGTAACTTCCTCTCCCTCAGTAACTTCCTCTCCCTCAGTAACTTCCTCTCCCTCAGTAACTTCCTCTCCCTCAGTAACTTCCTCTCCCTCATACTTCCCTCCTCAGTAACTTCCTCTCCCCAGCAACTTCCCCTCTCCCTCAGTAACTTCCTCTCCCCAGTAACTTCTGCTCCCTCTCCCTCAGTAATTCTTCTTCCTCTCCCTCAGTAACTTCTTGCTTCCATCCCTCAGTAACTTCCTCTCCCTCATAACTTCCTCTCCTCATAACTTCCTCTCCCTCAGTAAACTTCCCTCTCCCCAGTAACTTCCTCTCCTCAGTACTTCCTCTCCCCAGTAACTTCCTCTCCCTCATAACTTCCTCTCCCTCAGTAACTTCCCCTTCCCCTCAGTAACTTCCTCCCCCTCAGTAACTTCCTCTCCCTCAGTAATTTCCCCTCTCCCTCAATTACTTCTTGCTCCCCTCCCTCAGTAAATTCTTGCTTCCTCTCCCTCAGTAACTTCTTGCTTCCTCTTCCTCAGTAACTTCCTCTCCCTCAGTAACTTCCTCCACCATAACTTGTCCCCAGAACTTCCTCACCCTCAGTAACTCCTCTCCTCAAATGCTCCCCTCATTAACTTCCTGTCTCTCGTAACTCCTCCCCTCAGAAAATTTCTCTCCCTCAGTAACTTCCTCTCCCTCATAACTTCCTCTCCATCGTAACTTCCTCTCCCTCAGAAACTTCCTGTCCTCATAACTTCCTCTCCCTCAGTAACTTCCTCTCCCCAGTAACTTCCTGTCCCTCAGTAACTTCCTGTCTCTCAGTAACTTCCTGTCCCTCAGTAACTTCCTCTCCCTCAGTAACTTCCTCTCCCTCAGTAACTTCCTGTCCCTCAGTAACTTCCTGTCTCTCAGTAACTTCCTCTCCCTCAGTAACTTCCTCTCCCTCAGTAACTTACTCTCCCTCAGTAACTTCCTCTCACTCAGTAATTTCCTCTCCCTCAGTAACTTCCTCTCCCTCAGTAACTTCCTGTCCCTCAGTAACTTCCTGTCTCTCAGTAACTTCCTCTCCCTCAGTAACTTCCTCTCCCTCAGTAACTTCCTCTCCCTCAGTAACTTCCTCTCCCTCAGTAACTTCCTCTCCCTCAGTAACTTCCTGTCTCTCAGTAACTTCCTCTCCCTCAGTAACTTCCTCTCCCTCAGTAACTTCCTCTCCCTCAGTAAATTCCTCTCCCTCAGTAACTTCCTCTCCCTCAGTAACTTCCTCTCCCTCAGTAACTTCCTCTCCCTCAGTAACTTCCTCTCCCTCAGTAACTTCCTCTCCCTCAGTAACTTCCTCTCCCTCATAACTTCCCTCCCTCAGTAACTTCCTCTCCCTCAGTACTTCCTCTCCCCAATAACTTCCTCTCCCCTCAGTAACTTCCTCTCCCTCAGTAACTTCCTCTCCCTCAGTAACTTCCTCTCCCTCAGTAACTTCCTCTCCCTCAGTAACTTCCTCTCCCTCAGTAACTTCCTCTCCCTCAGTAACTTCCTCTCCCTCATAATTTCCTCTCCCTCATAACTTCCTCTCCCTCAGAAACCCTTCCTCTCCCTCAATAATTTCCCCTCTCCCTCAGTAACTTCCTCTCCCTCAGTAACTTCCTCTCCCTCAATAACTTCCTCTCCCTCAGTAACTTCCTCTCCCTCAGTAACTTCCTCTCCCTCAATAACTTCCTCTCCCTCAGTAACTTCCTCTCCCTCAAAAAACCCTTCCCTCTCCCTCAATAACTTCCTCTCCCTCAGTAACTTCCTCTCCCTCAGTAACTTCCTCTCCCTCAGTAACTTCCTCTCCCTCAGTAACTTCCTCTCCCTCAGTAACTTCCTCTCCCCTCAGTAACTTCCTCTCCCTGTAACTTCTCTCCCTCAATAACTTCCTCTCCCTCATTTAACTTCCTCTCCCTCAGTAACTTCCTCTCCCCCCAGTAACTTCCCTCCCTCAGTAATTTCCCCTTCTCCCTCAGTAACTTCCTCTCCCTCAATAACTTCCCTCCCTCAGTAACTTCCTCTCCCTCAGTAACTTCCTCTCCCTCAATAACTTCCTCTCCCTCAGTAACTTCCTCTCCCTCAGTAACTTCCTCTCCCTCAGTAACTTCCTCTCCCTCAGTAACTTCCTCTCCCTCAGTGACTCATATTTGTGATGAATGGTCTTGAAAACCGACAAGTTGAAGAAGTGAGACACTTACACAACACATGGGAAACTTCATTGAAGAAATGTTTCGCCACACAGTGGCTTCATCAGTCCAATACAAAGCAGAAAAACACAAGGAGAGGAGGAGTGTGAGGTAATTAGTCCCTCATTGTAATGACAATAAAGCCGACACTGTCTGGCCTTAAAGAACAAAAATTAAGCGTTTTGTTACAGTAATATAACAATTCTTTTGGCACTTTTTATATATGTTTCTGAATTAGGGGCTCTATTTATTCAGAAAATATTTTCCAAACTGAAAACCCACCATCAGTCTCCTGCAGCCTTCCCAGGCAGGGTTTACAGACAAAATTTGGAGGAATGTACTTAGGTAAAGGTAACATAATTGCAAAGGAATAGGTCGTTGTAAAGAAAATTTTGTGTAAAAATATCTTTATTGAGAAAATTGTTAAATTGTTAAGATTGAATGAAGGGAATATTACTTCGTTGTGAGGATCAGCAGAGGTAGTTATGCACCATTCATTATGGTTAACATAGTCTCTCAGATGGAATTAAATATTTTTTGATACACCCCGTCAACTAACTACACGAATACCACCTGGTGGTTCACACTTACACTCACTCACTCATTTGACCATAAACAGAAATATTAATCTCAGTCTTAAAATAATGAATCCTGTGATACTCCAATAATGAAACTATGTACTGTGCCAAAACAAAAGTATTCACATTGCTAAACTCACAAACTAGTATTTAGTCACTTAGCCATAATACCAACTTACCTCATAATTTGTAATATTTTACAATTAAGAATAAAACTAAGTCTGCCCGAAATGCCTAAGCCATGCTAGGTGTTCTGGTGGTACACTCTGTAATCACTATTTTACTACATGTAAACCAAACAATAACCAAATTTCTGTAAACTCAGCATTGTAATCCTTATAGAGAATAAACTTTGAATTTGAATTTGAATTTGAATTTGAAGAAAGAGGCAATACTATGGTTTGAGAGAACATTTAAGGAAAGGCGCAATAGATGCTACTGTTAAATATATTACACAAAGAGATATATATGTCTGCAAGACTCTCACAGAATATACAAGTCTATTGCATTTTGTGACAGACATCAATTATATAAAAGTAACAGAATGGTCAGCTTAACAGCTTGACAAAGCTGCTGGAGAGCGGAACATTTGTCATAATTGTTCTGTGTATTAAGAGGCGTTTGACATGCATACATACATGTTTTTCACCTCAGTACAAAGATTGTGTCATGATTAAATAAAGTATCTTATCTTATTTTATCTTATCACTATAAAACGTCACTATAGTTGCACCTAAGAATGTTTGGTATAAGGACTCTGCCTACCTCCAGGTAGGACTCTGCCTACCTCCAGGTAGGACTCTACCTACCTCCAGGTAGGACTCTACCTACCTACCTCCAGGTAGGACTCTACCTACCTCCAGGTATGACTCTACCTACCTACCTCCAGGTAGGACTCTACCTACCTCCAGGTAGGACTCTACCTACCTCCAGGTAGGACTCTACCTACCTCCAGGTAGGACTCTGCCTACCTCCAGTAGGACCTACCTACCTCCAGGTAGGACTCTACCTACCTCCAGGTAGGACTCTACCTACCTCCAGGTAGGACTCTACCTACCTCCAGGTAGGACTCTACCTACCTCCAGGTAGGACTCTACCTACCTCCAGGTAGGACTCTACCTACCTCCAGGTAGGACTCTACCTACCTCCAGGTAGGACCTTCTGCCTACCTCCAGGTAGGACTCTACCTACCTCCAGGTAGGACTCACCTACCTCCAGGGAGGACTCTAAACCTACCTCCAGGTAGGACTCCTAAACCCAAACCTCCAGGTAGGACTCTACCTAAACCCCAGGTAGGACTTCTGCCTACCTCCAGGTAGGGCTCTAAACCCACCTCCAGGTAGGACTCTACCTACCTCCAGGTAGGACTCTACCTACCTCCAAGTAGGACTCTACCTACCTCCAGGTAGGACTCTACCTACCTCCAGGTAGGACTCTACCTACCTCCAGGTAGGACTCTACCTACCTACCTCCAGGTAGGACTCTACCTACCTCCAGGTAGGACTCTGCCTACCTCCAGGTAGGACTCTACCTACCTCCAGGTAGGACTCTACCTACCTCCAGGTAGGACTCTACCTACCTCCAGGTAGGACTCTACCTACCTCCAGGTAGGACTCTACCTACCTCCAGGTAGGACTCTACTTACCTCCAGGTAGGACTCTACCTACCTCCAGGTAGGACTCTACCTACCTCCAGGTAGGACTCTACCTACCTCCAGGTAGGACTCTACCTACCTCCAGGTAGGACTCTACCTACCTCCAGGTAGGACTCTACCTACCTCCAGGTAGGACTCTACCTACCTACCTCCAGGTAGGACTCTACCTACCTCCAGGTAGGACTCTACTTACCTCCAGGTAGGACTCTACCTACCTCCAGGTAGGACTCTACCTACCTCCAGGTAGGACTCTACCTACCTCCAGGTAGGACTCAACCTACCTACCTCCAGGTAGGACTCTAAATTACCTCCAGGTAAAGGGCTCTACCTACCTCCCGGAGGACTCTACCTACCTCCAGGGAGGACTCTACCTACCTCCAGGGAGGACTCTACCTACCTCCAGGGTTTGGGCTTCTACTTACCTCCAGGTAGGACTCTACCTACCTCCAGGTAGGACTCTACCTACCTCCAGGTAGGACTCTACCTACCTCCCCAAGGGAAAGGGCTCTACCACCTCCAGGAGGACTCTAAACCCACTCCAGGTAGGACTCTACCTAACCTCCAGGTAGGGCTCTACCTAACCTCCAGATAGGACTCTAAACCCACCTCTAGGTAGGACTCTACCTACCTCCAGGTAGGACTCTACCTACCTCCAGGTAGGACTCTACCTACCTCCAGGTAGGACTCTACCTACCTATCTCCAGGTAGGACTCTACCTAAATACCTCCAGATAGGACTCTATTTACCTCCAGGTAGGGCTCTACCTACCTACCTCCAGGTAGGGCTCTACCTACCTACCTCCAGGTAGGACTCTACCTACCTACCTTCAGGTAGGACTCTACCTACCTACCTCCAGGTAGGACTCTACTTACCTACGTCAGGTATGGCTCTACCTACCTACCTCCAGGTATGACTCTATCTACCTACCTCCAGGTAGGACTCTATCTACCTCCAGGTAGGATTCTACCTACGTACCTACCTCCAGGTAGGACTCTACTTACATCCAGGTAGGACTCTACCTACCTACCTCCAGGTAAAGGGCTCAAATTTTCATCCAGGTAGGACTCTACCTACGTACCTACCTCCAGGTAGGACTCTACTTACATCCAGGTAGGACTCTACCTACCTACCTCCAGGTAGGACTCTACTTACATCCAGGTAGGACTCTACCTACCTACCTCCAGGTAGGACTCTACCTACCTACCTCCGGGTAGGACTCTACTTACCTCCAGGTAGGACTCTACTTACCTCCAGGTAGAACTCTACCTACCCACCTAGCTCCAGGTAGGTAGAGTTCTTATACCTAACATTATTAACTATGCAAAAGATTCCCGTGTGGGAATGTTTCCAGGAACATCTGACAAGATCTCTGATGGGTCATTTTTCATTTTAATAATTTTAACTTATACTATGAGAACAATTTACCAAAAACTCACAATTAGTAGACGTACCATATGACAATGAGTCGGTCTTTCCTGAACAATTAACAATGTCCAGAAGGGACCGAGTCGTCGTTATAATTTTTCTCTCGTTACTGCCAGATTGTTGTGAATCCTTGTAGCAACGGTATTATGACCTTCATTCATTTTTTATAATGATGCTATTTAATTTAAATTAATTTGATCATTAATGAAAACATTAGCTTGATAATGAGGAAAGTCATGCCAACCTGTACAGTGAGTAGCATCTAGTGAAAATAGCAGAGTATTACCTACCAGTTTGTGGTGTCTCCACAGAGCAACACTCAGTGTCTATATCTTGACCAACAACTCCTACACAAAAACTGTAATTCGTATATGGCACAGAGGAGTCCATTGTGTAACATGAATTATCCTTATTTTCCCAAGGCCAGGAATCTTCACCAGAATCTAAAAAAAAAAAATAAAACAACTAAACACAGGTTAAATCATTTCAAAATACCTATGTACTTAATTGTGAGTAAGATCTCTATATGTATGATTTTTATTTATTAAATCATTGGCCGTTTCCCACCAAGGCAGGTTGGCCCGAAAAGAAAAAAACTTTCACCATCATTAACTCCATCACTGTCTTGCCAGAGTCGCTCTTACACTACAATCATGAAAGTGCAACAATAAAACCCCTCCTTCAGAGTGCAGGCACTATACTTCCCATCACCAGGACTCAAGTCTGGCCGACCGGTTTCCCTGAATCTCTAAATAATACCCTGTTCACAATCCAACAGCATGTCAACTCCTAAAAGCCATTTGTCTCCATTCGTTCCTATCTAACACGCTCACGCATGCTCACGCATGCAAACAAATTTGTAGTGGAGGGAAGGTGGGGTAGAAGTCGGCCTAGGAAAGGTTGGAGGGGGGTAAAGGAGGTTTTGTGTGCGAGGGGCTTGGACTTCCAGCAAGCATGCGTGAGCGTGTTAGATAGGAGCGAATGGAGACAAATGGATTTTAGGATTTGACATGCCGTTGGTTTGTGAACAGGGTATTATTTATAAAGAGATTCAGGGAAACCGGTAGGCCAGACTTGAGTCCTGGTGATGGGAAGTACAGTGCCTGCACTCTGAAGGAGGGGTGTTAACCTCCTTTACACCCCTTCCAACCTTTCCTAGGCCGACCTCTACCTCGCCTTCCCTCCACTACAAATTTGTACACTCCCGAAGTCGTTCTGTTTTGTTTCATCCTCTCAACATATCCAAACCAGCTCAACAACCCCTCCTCAGCCCTCTGGATAATAGTTTTGGTAATCCTGCACCTCTTCTCATTTCCAAACTACGAATTCTCTGCATTATAGTCACACAACATATTGCCCTCAGACACGACATCTCCACTGCCTCCAGCCTTCTCCTTGTTGCAACATTCATCACCCATGCTTCACACCCATATAAGAGCACTGGTTTAACCATACAATCATGCATTACCCTCTTTGCTTCCATGGAAAAAGTTCTTTGTCTCCACAAACTCCTCAGTGCACCAATTACCTTTTTTCCCTCGTTATTTCTATGATTCACCTCATCTTTCATGGAACCATCTGCTAACATGTCCTCCTCCATACTCTCTCCATCCAACCTGATAATGAGTCTTTCATTACCTAATATTTTTTTGTTATCCTCATCACCTTACTCTTTCCTATATTCACTTTCAATTTCCTTCTTTTACATACAGTACCAGACTCATCCACCAACCTCTCTTCGGAATCTCCCAGAAGCACAGTGTCATCAGCAAAGAGCAACTGTGACAACTCCCACTTTGTGTTAGATTCTTTATGTCTAATTAAACAGAAAAGATGGACGGGAGGCTTGAATTGTTATCCTAAGAATAACAGGTCCAGCACTCTACCTGTTTGGCTACCAGACTTCTAATTGCATCAACTAGGCTTCTAGAAGCCTCAACTAGGCTTCTAGGTTTCTAAAACCCTACTTGATGCAATTATAAGTCTGGTAGCTCAACTGGTAGAGTGCTGGACCAGTTAATCTAGGAACCACAGTTCAAGACTCCTCTCCATATTTTCTGGTTATTAATACATAAAGAATCTAATACAAAGTGGGAGTTGTCACAGTTGCCTTTTACTGATGACACTGTGCTTTTGGAAGATTCTGATGAGAAGTTGCACTGTTGTACTTGTTAATCTTAGTACCACAGTTCAAGTCTCTCGTCCATCTCAGACCTTATTATTTTATTACAACTTAATCTGGGTTTATATTACGTAACTTTGAAAGAGAGTTAATGATGAGGAGAATAAATTGTGAATTAAGTTAGTAAATATAAAACAACAAAATTATCAATATCGTGAAATTTTATTGTTTGACATACTTGCATATGTAAAATATATTTATGAGTATGTATGTATGTATTCAAGCATGCATCTATGTATGTATATAGGTATGTATGAATGCAGGAATCTATAAATGAATTCATGCTTGTATGTATGTATGTATGTATGTATGTATGTATGTATGCATGTATGAATATATGCATGTATGAGTGCATTTATGAATGTTCATATCTATGTATGAATGCATTTAAGTATGCATACAATAAGATTATAGTAAACAGATCTAAGTTTTGCAAGTTCTGAAAAAATCAATAATGTAAAAATTGCAACTTAGAAAAATTTAACGACTTATCCAATGATGAAATTATTATAAGTAAGAAAATGGTTTGTAGTTCCTTGATTAAACAAAATATTCCTAATATAAGTAAGAAGATGGTTTATAGTTCCTTGATTAAACAAAATATTCCTAATATAAGAAGATGGTTTTTAAGTTCCTTGATTAAACAAAATATTCCTAATATAAGTAAGAAGATGGTTTACAGTTCCTTGATTAAGCAAAATATTCCTAATATAAGTAAGAAGATGATTTATAGTTCCTTGATTAAACAAAATATTCCTAATATAAGTAAGAAGATGGTTTATAGTTCCTTGATTAAACAAAATATTCCTAAAATAAGTAAGAAGATGGTTTATAGTTCCTTGATTAAACAAAATATTCCTAATATAAGTAAGAAGATGGTTTATAGTTCCTTGATAAAACAAAATATTCCTAAAATAAGTAAGAAGATGGTTTATAGTTCCTTGATTAAACAAAATATTCCTAAAATAAGTAAGAAGATGGTTTATAGTTCCTTGATTAAACAAAATATTCCTAATATAAGTAAGAAGATGGTTTATAGTTCCTTGATTAAACAAAATATTCCTAATATAAGTAAGAAGATGGTTTATAGTTCCTTGATTAAACAAAATATTCCTAATATAAGTAAGAAGATGGTTTATAGTTCCTTGATTAAACAAAATATTCCTAAAATAAGTAAGAAGATGGTTTATAGTTCCTTGATTAAACAAAATATTCCTAATATAAGTAAGAAGATGGTTTATAGTTCCTTGATAAAACAAAATATTCCTAAAATAAGTAAGAAGATGGTTTATACTTCCTTGATTAAGCAAAATATTTCTGTCCTCAAAGATTTTTAAAGTCTATGAAAATCTTATTAATAATAAAAATTTGCGTATTACAAAAGAAGATAAAATAATTACAGTAGTAATTTTTAAAGAAACTGATTATCAAAGTAAAATAAATAATCTTTCAAATGATACAGATAATTATTCCAAACTTAGAAAGATTCTCTTAGATTCAGTTAACAATAACTTTAATAAAACAATAAAACGACTACTGAAAAAGTTGTGATAAATTATTAAATTCATGACCACCAATATATCTTGATTATATATGTATGAATTATTATATATGTATGAATTATTATATATGTATGAATTATTCTATAAGTATGAATTATTATATATGTATGAATTATTATATATGTATGAATTATTATATATGTATGAATTATTATATATGTATGAATTATTATATATGTATGAATTATTATATATGTATGAATTATTATATATGTATGAATTATTATATATGTATGAATTATTCTATAAGTATGAATTATTATATATGTATGAATTATTATATATGTATGAATTATTATATATGTATGAATTATTATATATGTATGAATTATTATATATGTATGAATTATTATATATGTATGAATTATTATATATGTATGAATTATTATATATGTATGAATTATTCTATAAGTATGAATTATTATATATGTATGAATTATTATATATGTATGAATTATTATATATGTATGAATTATTATATATGTATGAATTATTATATATGTATGAATTATTATATATGTATGAATTATTATATATGTATGAATTATTATATATGTATGAATTATTCTATAAGTATGAATTATTATATATGTATGAATTATTATATATGTATGAATTATTATATATGTATGAATTATTATATATGTATGAATTATTATATATGTATGAATTATTATATATGTATGAATTATTATATATGTATGAATTATTATATATGTATGAATTATTCTATAAGTATGAATTATTATATATGTATGAATTATTATATATGTATGAATTATTATATATGTATGAATTATTATATATGTATGAATTATTATATATGTATGAATTATTATATATGTATGAATTATTATATATGTATGAATTATTATATATGTATGAATTATTCTATAAGTATGAATTATTATATATGTATGAATTATTATATATGTATGAATTATTATATATGTATGAATTATTATATATGTATGAATTATTATATATGTATGAATTATTATATATGTATGAATTATTATATATGTATGAGTTATTATATATGTATGAATTATTATATATGTATGAATTATTATATATGTATGAATTATTATATATGTATGAATTATTATATATGTATGAATTATTATATATGTATGAGTTATTATATATGTATGAATTATTATATATGTATGAATTATTATATATGTATGAATTATTATATATGTATGAATTATTATATATGTATGAATTATTATATATGTATGAATTATTATATATGTATGAGTTATTATATATGTATGAATTATTATATATGTATGAATTATTATATATGTATGAGTTATTATATATGTATGAATTATTATATATGTATGAATTATTATATGTGTATGAATTATTATATATGTATGAATTATTATATATGTATGAATTATTATATATGTATGAATTATTATATATGTATGAATTATTATATATGTATGAATTATTAATATGTATGAATTATTATATATGTATGAGTTATTATATATGTATGAATTATTATATATGTATGAATTATTATATGTGTATGAATTATTATATATGTATGAATTATTATATATGTATGAGTTATTATATATGTATGAATTATTATATATGTATGAATTATTATATGTGTATGAATTATTATATATGTATGAATTATTATATATGTATGAGTTATTATATATGTATGAATTAT